GTACGAGTTTTGCTGATTCTTACCAATTTCTTATGAATTCTTGTGAGATTCTTATAAGACTCAGCAGAATTCTTATTACTTTCGTGGAAGATCTTATATGAGAATTGAGTAAGATTCGTATAAGATTTCACAAGTTTTTTTTGTCTAAGAATTTTGTGCAAGAGTAAAAGTCTTAATGGCTTTGGAATTCAATCATACAGTTCCTAACTACAGTACTTTGGCGTCAAATTCAAGGTGATGGGTTATTTGTTTAATAACTTTCACTGTAATGACTGTTTATTATTTTAAAACCATACTTGGATATTCGCCAGTGAATGCTAATGCATCTTTAACAAGAAATTGAGTAATATGTTCGAGAGATTTAGCATCTTGTGTTAACTTAATAGAATCTTACAATAAACCATATGATAGTTTCATTTTACCACGTATGAGATAATATATTGATCAATAGTTTATATATTTACCATATGCATCAGCAATTGCTTGTTGAATATGTTTCACTTTTGTGGCTTTACCTTCAGCATGCCTGTTCATAATAGTAGTTGTGACGAAGTGAGGTAAAGATGTAAATAAGTCTGTTAATTGTTGGCCTAATGATCCATCTAATTCAACATATACCTCTTCATGTTTATTGCAGTTACGTCTAATATTGACTGACCACAACCTAAATACAGACCAGCTTTAGCAATTGCTTCTGTTTGTGTCAGGTTGACATTTTCGAACAGAAGATTAAAAATAAACAACAAAGCAGTTGCACTATCGCGATAAGTTGATTGAACACCTTGACCAACATCTTATTTCATTTATCGAATCTATCAATTTAGCTCTGTGTCTGATATTTCTTTTCTACGTGTGACTTATGCTCTTCTTCATCTACCATGGCTTGAGTTGATGATGGTATTTTCTTTCGCTTACGACCAGCGCCCGGACGAAAACCACCATGGTCACTATCATCTTTGTTGGGATCAACATCCATTTTCTTCATAATGAAGCAAATAAGAACAGTTATACAAATCGCTATTGGCAAATGATAGCTGACATGTATCAGTATGTAATATATCTATAAATATATAATAAACAATTAAGAGCTAAATAAAAAAATCAGGATGATAAGACAGACTGTTATAATTCAAATGAATGATTATTTATATTTGTTGATGACTGAAATATTTCCAAATAGCGTTAGTTGTAGTTGGTGGTGGGTACTATATGTTCATAGCCATAATACATACTAAATACCTTTAATTGTACAGAAAAAATAAGAAAGAGCAAATGACACCAAAACCGAAAAAAATCAAGTTTTCACGCTGAATCTGACGCCAAAGTACTGTAGTAATTATGTTCCCTGGGTACAGTCAGATCAGGGTGTTTCCTGTACATAGATGTCATATTAAAGCATTTCGAGAAAAACGGAAGTCGTTACTAGCATAGAATTTTAGCGACTAAAATGCAAGCAAAGAAAGATACACGCTAGACGAAAGGAGAGAATAGCAAACAAAATCCATCTGTTACCCGGCTAACTTCAAGGCATACAAAATTAAATTCTGAAGATTTTTTATTTCATTCATAGCTCTCTCGGATTCTTCTCTGATGTAATAAAGCTGCAAATATCAATCATAAAAAAGTTATCGGTTACCAGTGTTCATTGGCGATCGCTGGTTCGATTTTCTGTTAAAAACTGAAATCGATGCATATTTACATCAACGCTTCTGCTGTCAGGTTTGGCGCCGAAATTAACTATAAAAATAACGGAATTCGATTACAAGGCGATATTCTCTAGAAGGTGCTTGATTTTGAAAAGTGTATCGTATGACATGGCACGTCCTCTCGGTTTCATGGGACAGGATGGATAAACAATTTTTCAGAAATTTTCATAGAACGGAACTGGGATAGGCCGACTGTCCCATGAGACGGAATATCCGTCCCATTCCATTCGGAGTCCTAATTCAGATTACTACACTGTTAATCCGATTTATTTTCTAATTTACAGAAAATCGACTTTAAAAATCGGAAATGATTTTTTTAAAGAAATTTAATGAAATCGTGAATGGTTTTAAGAGAAATGTAAAGATTCGTAGAAATCACATTTCCAGAAAGTAGAAAATCACTGATGAATTCGTATACGGACAAGCTGAAAACGATTTTTTATTTTCTATAACGTATTTTCGCGTTTACAGTGTGCAGCTATTCCACTCATTGAGCACAATCCGTCTGGTAGAAGATAAGCTATGCTTTTGGTTAGCAGTAAACCTGTTGACTCAGGATCATTGATCATAGGATTAATTCTGTATTCATTCAGAGCAAGATTCTCTTATCAGATAAAAAAAAACCAAATTTAACTTTATTGACTAGCTTTGATGACTTTGTGTTTGTTCATTCATCCCACCGAAACTAATTAATTATCTGGTGTTAACTTGGTCTATTTTTAGAACAACTGACTTTGGACAAATTTTATTTGCAAACAATGATCGTTTATCAAGGGTATGCGCCGATATTATTTGCTAAAAATGAAATATAAAACTTACAAACAACACGAAACTAATACTATAAGAAAGGGATGTTCAGTTGGCGGTCCTGGCTAGAAACAAAGCCGCTGTTTTTATTATTACGACTGCAGGAGTTACTAGCACAACCGAAAGCTCAGTTTAACTCTGCCAAGCGACTCTAGGACCACAACTGGAGTTCGGTTTGCCGGTTCTAAAACCGAAACAAGTGTGATGCTGGAACCGCGATTTCGATTTTGGTTTTGCGTTTTTGAGAAGCGAGTCGAAACAGTTCTGGTATTTAGAACCGAAAATTCATACTTATTGGGCAGAGACATCCAGCAGAGACATAGTTCGAACTGTCAGCAATCAAATTTTTTTTCATAGGACAGGCGTCTATATAGAACCGAAAACTTGGGGTCGAATAGAAGACTCGATTTTGCAAAGCCTACTTTAAGGGTCCGGTTCTGAGTTTGGAACCGAAACCACAGTTCACATTCTGATATTGATAACCCAGATGGCAGAACCTCCGTTTCGTTCTCAAAAGCAGAATCCAACCACGTTTTCGATTTCGACAAGAAACGTCTCTTTTTAGCATTCCCATTTTGTTCCTAAAAATAAAAACCTTCGTAGCTATAATGCCTCAGCTCCATAAAGAAATGATATTTCGTAATTCCTAAGAACTATACAATATAGTCTAAGATAGAGTAGAATGAGTGACTGCGAGCGGATCAGATCAAGTTCGATTGTCGGTGCTTGAGTGCGTTAGTGCAGGTATTACATTGAAAACAGTATGTGTCAGAGACGTAACCGGTATCGGTACGAATATAAGGCCGACCGGTATACTGGCATTAGTATGAAGTATAATCAGTCGGTCGGTATTGCTGGTATTTGCGGTATGATACGATTTGTTTCGAAAAACATCGTGTAAATTCAGTTCATCTGTGACATATTTCTTCCACTAAAATTTCACTCTAGTTATTAAGCTTTGTCAGCTTATATAAACTTCTTAATTTAAAAGATTGAACTGGAATGCTGTTTTCGTAAAACAAAAAAAAATGTGTGAAAAGTCAGCTATACATAATCAAAGTGAAAAGATTAATGGACCCCTTTGATAACATAAAATAAAGTTCACAATAAAGAAAAACAAGAAAAAAGTAAAACCCCCCCACCATATCTCTTTCGTACGGTGATTATCACCGTAAGAAAAAAGTATTTGTATTTGGGCAAATATGACAAACCGGTACCGGTACCAGTATCGTATTTTTGATACCGGTTACACCCCTGGTACATGCTGAAAAAAATTAACAGTGCTGTGCGGACATTGTGTGACACTTCATTCGATCCTGTTTAGGAATCTGTTATGGGCTAGCGAAATATTGGTCTACACTGACTGGAGAATCAATCGATCTCCGTCGAGCATATCTAGCTAAAAGAGTGAAAATCAAATCGACTTATCTAAATAAACCGACTTTTGCTCGATTCTCGATTCAGCTAGGTGCAAAAAGTGACTAGGTGAAAAGTCGATTAATTTAACTTCAGAATTTAATTCTGCATGCAATGGATTCCCTAAAAGTAAAAAAAGAGTAAGCTTGGCTACGCTACAAAAACTGATTGAAATTAAATCTTGTACATTTTACCTACTAGCCGCAAATTTCTAGGATGTTATCTTAATTAAGGAAGGTGCGAATTACTCTCAGAAATGATTAATACCGACATCTAACTGCATCGTTTGTTAGATTGATCGGTGCAGTTAGATGGAAGTGATCGAGTAAACTCGATGATGGCTTGCTGCAATGATCGATGTATCGACTCAAAGTCGATTGTAGACTGATTACTGTCTGCAGCGACCTTTGAACGGAGTAGAGCTAGTTCCATCGCTCGATGCTATCTGTGACTTTTTCATGCTTGAGTGCACTATTTATTCAAAAACTCACTATTATCATCAACGAT